CTGGAGGGTGGTGAGGGTCCGGAACTCCATGGGGAGATTGTTCCAGAGGGACGGAGCAGCCACAGAGAAGGCCCTCCCCCGGGGGTTTGCCAGTCGGCACTGGCTGGCAGATGGAATTCAGAAGAGGCCTAATCTGTGAGATCTAATCAGTCTTAGGGAGGTAATTGGCAGGAGGAGGTCTCTCAAGTACCCAGGTCCGATACCATGTAGGGCTTTAAAAGTAATGACTAGCATCTTGAAGCGTGTCCAGAGCCCAATAGGCAGCCAGTGCAGCTCGCGGTCAAATGTTTGATATGTATGTTTTTGTGCGTTTCTGCCTCAGGCCTTGCTTTATTTCGCTGCTCTTCTTTTCATAACCAGTAAAAGTACTCTTAATTCTACAAATGGAATTAACTGATTTCTTTCTTGGTTGCTGAAGGAGGCGTGCTTGACATTAAGCAAGGTCTCACTCTCGCACTCATCCCAGAGCTAACACCTTCCAAGGGGAGTATAATAAAAACTGAACCTTCAAAGAAATGTCCAACCCAGGCAGCGACCAGGAGGATGATATGGGGACTGGCAGATCTTCATGTCCCCTGGAGGTGGAGCGGATGACGGAACTGAATTTGGAGGAAAGATCCGTCCGTCCCAGGTGGTCGTTGGGAGTGGGACAGAAGTATGATTTTGAGGAAATTCTGGCTGGAGTTACAACAACCCGACGTTGGCGACCTGCAGGTGCCTGGCAGGAAGCCAAAGAAGAGAATCTCATGATGTTCCATGCTATGAAACTCTTCCAGGAAGTTTGGGAGAAACGTCATTTTAGCGAGAGCAGGTCTGAAAGAGAAGCTGATTTCCCTGATCAAGAAGAGAGACCTGCAGAGGACCTGCCTCACCCAGGGGGGTGGGGTTGGGGGCAGACAGCAGAGCTGATCAGGATGGGAGACCTCAACAGCAGCAGCCGCCGCAAGAGCCCCTCCAAGGGGGAGAAGGCCCCCCTGTAGACTCCGGATGGCAAAGTTCTTCCTCTTGGCATGAAATTTGGAGGTGACCCAAAGGAGCTAGGATTTTTCCTGGTGCAGGTCTGGAATTTCATGCAACAATTTGGAGAAGATCTCNGGGAAAAGGGCGGCCTATAAATCCTAATAAAATACTAAAAAAAAATGGTAGTTCTTGACTTATAACCACAACTGGACAAAAGTTTTGGCCACTAAGCAATGCAATCATAACAAAACATCATGTGGCCACTTTAATTAGGCATAAAAATATTTCGACCAATTGAGGTGGAAAATACGTAGCTGTGGAAAATACAATATTAGGACATGGCATAGTATAACTAAGAGAGTATAACTCTCTTAGTCTGAGAGCTCAAATAAGGAAGGTGAAAATCCCTCATTTGACAAAAATACTGAATTATTAGACAAATTCTGCCTTTTATGATCAGCCATCAACAGTAAAAGGCTAAGAAGTCCAGAAATACTGGAGTTGGAAAAACAAAAGTCCCGAAACTAGCCTTGGCAGGAAAAACAAACAAACAAATGAATTATTGAATAAATCAACCCAGAGTTTTTACTCAAGACACAAATGACCAGGTTTAAATTATCCCAACACATTATCAAATATCTAAGTATCTGGAGAAGGTTCTAAATGCTGGGAAAGATGAAAGGAAAGAGAAGACAAAAATTACTAGCAGCAAGTTCGACAATGGTAATGGATACACCATTAGAAGATCTGAAGAACCAGTTTAAGGAGACATCATCATGAAGGAAAATCTGCCTGTTGGTTGATAAGAATTGACTTGACATCAACTTTCAATAAGCAATATTCCTCATTTATTATTCATTCTACTATCTCCTTTGAGAGCAGAATTCTTCCACATCAAGAGGAAGATGGCCTCTTCTATAGATGGTCCTCTTGCTAAATAGAGTTCTTCTTCCTACCTCACTTAAGAAGATCTGGAATGTGATGTAAAATATGCAGATGTGCCACAACCAATTGTCTAACTCAGGGGTGTCAAACTCAAGGCCCGTAGGGTCGCCCTGGAAACAGCGAAGGACTGGCTCAGGGTGCCTCTGCCAATGAAAACAGAGCTCAGGAGGACTGTGTGCGGCCCTCTCAAGCTGTTTTCCCTGGTAGAGGGTTCCAGGAGGCTGTCCTAGCTGAAAATGGAGCTCATGAGGGCTGCACATGGCTCTCCTGAACTCTATTTTCGCTGGAAGATTGCATGAGATCTTCGCAGCCAGAGCTGGCATTCTACTGGTTTGGACCTGATCGCCCAAACCAGTAGCGGAAATAGCGGGTGGCTCTGCCCATCCACGCCCGGCTCTATTGGATCCCAATTTAGGCCATTTTTTTTGCCAAAAGCACATGCGCAGAAGGATCACAGAGGTGGTGCCTGCGCTCACATTTGTGAACCTATAGGGAAGATAAGTGTATACCAAACTGAGCTTGGGAGCCCATTTTCACTGGCAGAGCACTCAGGCACCACAGGTGCCCTTCCTCACCCCAACATGATGTCATGCTGTCATGCCCACCCAGGCCAGGCCATGCCCTCCCGGGCCTTCCAAAGTCTAACATAAACCTAATGCAGCCCTTAATGAAACTAAGTTTGACACACCTAACAGTAACGTAGTTGGAAGGGACCTTGGAGGTCATTTAGTACAACCCCCTGCTAACTCAGGAGACCTGTACTAGGGATTTGAACCACCAAACTGTCAACCTTTCTGATCGACAAGCTCAGCATCTTAGGCCCTGAGCCACCTAGTCACCTGGGCTAACCCTTTCTGGATTACTAGCTGAAAGAATATGCAGCAGAAATGGTTCAGATTGTGTGCTAACATTATAGTAACCAGGGCAGCGAGTCGAGAAGAAATGCTAAAACAAAAATAGAACCTTAGTTTTTCTTGCAAGTGTGCATTTGAGTGTGTATCTTACAGATGCACGTATATACGTGTGTACGCACACACACAATTTATTTCCTGCCCTAAGAAGCTGAAAGAGAGTTGTAGACTCCGGGAGACTTTTCAGTGGCTGCAAGGCGAAAGAAAAACCAGGTTTTCGTTTGATTGTTCTCCAGCCGTTTCTGTCCAAAGAAAAGCTGTAACGCAGGAGCTCCCTCTCCACATAAACGTCAAGCCTTCTGCACAGCATAGTCGGCCCTTGAAGACAAATTTGAGGAGGGGGAAAGAGGCGTTCTAGTGGGTGGGAGAATCCATTCAGCCTCCTAAATCGGGGTCGGAGCCGAGGGAGGTGGGGAATTTCCCTTGGCCTTCCAAGCGGCCCCTGTTTCCAAGAAGGCCGGTTGCTACGTGCGAACCTTCAAGAGAAACGCCGAACTTCTCGCCACCTTCCAATCCAGGAAAGCGCATCCTCGACCCAGCCAGCTTTCCACGGAGAAAGGGTGGGAGGGAAACCTGTTTGCCACCCCTCCACTCCGTGGTGTAGAAGCTGAATGCGGTAAGCTTATAGGGGAGGAGCAGCGAATGACTTCATGCAGCAGGACTGCCGTGAATTTGGCATCAGCAGCTGCAAGCTGTTTGCTGGGGAATGACTGACAGCGGGAGTCCCCCCGGGCATCTGCCTGGCAAGCCCTCCTTCCCCGGCGTTCTTTTAAAAACCTCAGCCGCAGGGGGCAGCTGGGCCATAAGCTGCTGAAAACAAGCGCCCAGCGCGCCGCTTAAGCCGCAGCCAGAGGCGCCAGGCAGATGCGTTAAATAAATCGGTCGTCGGAAAGGTGAGTCGACTCGCACGTTGCTCTCCTCCCGAGGCGTAACTAAACGGCTTGGGGTGGGGGTAAGAAAGGAAAGGGAAGACGGGAGACAGGGAGGGCGTAGCACGTGCTTGGCCAGAGGCATGTAAATGTGGTTCGTTAACCCGTTCGAAAGATGCGTGCCGGGGTTGCTGGGAGCTAATCGAGGAGCGTTTCACTGTCGGAATCCAAGCCCAGATCCCCGCTACCTTCCCTGGGGCCTGCCAGCCGCCTTTGCTTTTATAAAAGGTGGGGGGGAATCGGCGGCTAGTTCCCCCGCAGAGCAGCGGGTGTCTTTACGGCCGAGACGCGCGTCCTTCGGTTTTCAGCGGCGAGGAGCACCCCACCTCTAGCCCCCCACCTCGGCGCCTTTTCGCGCGCAGAAGGCGCCTCCCCGCGCCCGGAGGGTCAGCGCTTGTTTTCTCGGCTGCCTAAAAATAGTCGCGAGTCGGAGGGGCGGCGGGAGGAGAGGGGGGAGGGAGGAAAGCCTGGAGGAAGGTCAGTGGGGCGAATCCTGGATTGCGCCTCCTCGGAATTTGCATGTTGCTCCGATGAAAGGCATCCGAGGTGGTCGGTGGGATCTCGGCAGGCAAAAATAAACTCCACCGGGCTGGCTACGAAGCTTAAACTGCGTGAGTTACGTTAACTCTACGTTGATAGAAAGGTAGGCTCTATTCAAGGGTCGGGTTCAGGTTTCGGGGGTGGGGGTTATTCTTAATCATTCCTCCTCGATCTCACTGTTGCTTTCTCTCCCCACCCCCGCCCCGCTTTTTTCATTTTTCCTGCTACCACCTCGAGAGTTGCTCTTAAAAGGTTACCTTACCTCCATTTTTCTTCTGCACAAGCAGCCATTTTAATTCATACACATAAATTTGCAGTGCTGGTGGATATAAAGTATCGGTGAGTGGTTGATGGCGTGTGCTCAAGAACCTGTTCTCAAAAAATGTAATTCCCCAGACCCGTGGTTTAGCAAAATCATTGTAAATATAGGTTGAATGGGAGCGAACATGGGAAATGTGCTCTCCTTTATTAGATATACAATGCTTCATTGACCCGATTCAGAATAGATAGAATATCAACGTTTTGTGGAAGAGGCTATCTATACATTTGGAAAAGCTAGCCCTACTCCTGGGTGCTGAATAGCAGATCTGGGCTGCCTAAAATCAGATGGCCCCTAGGTAGCAGCAAAGAGTTGACTTTTGTGTCTCTTTGTTGCCTTCTAGCGTTTATCGTAGGTTTTTGTTTTTTTTCTCAACAGCCTTGATCCGCCTTGAAAAAAATTTCCTGAAAGCCCTGTCAAATGTAAAATTGTCATATATTCAGTTCTGAGTTGAATAATTTTGTCTAGGCTGGGTTGGTAACCATCCATTTAATTATATTTAACATAATTCAATTCATAGAGATTCTCATCAGCTACTTTTCCATAAAGATTTCTGGGCTCCTGATGCTAGCTGTGTTCAATTACAAAAAATGTGCCAAGAAGCAGCCCCCATATTTACTGTTGAATCTTTCAATATTGGAAGCAGTTGGATTAGCCACCTCCCCCCTCTTGGTGGTTGTCTAGATGATTTCCCTTCAATAAATGAAACTGTTTCCAGCTTGAAAATGCACTTTGTGCCAGAATGTGAAATGTGTTATGCCAATAGTCTGCTGAGCATCAAGGAAGCTTCCTCTGTTTGTTGAAAGCAATTAACTAGGAATAAATAATCAGCATTTGTTCTGGTTAGTAAAGCTAAAAAAAAGGAAATGCTTACTGGAAGGCATTGCTAATACTGCCTAAATACCACATTTTACTATTCTTTTAATAGTAAAACCCTATTTCATAATTTTCAACCCTCTTTAATCCAAGGAGAATAAATCAAATGTTATCTTGATAAAAATGAGAATTAATATGATACAGAAGTGGTTCATGTTCATAAATATATGCTTAAGTATCTTAACCTTCTTCGTATGGTGCCAAAGACATGGGACTCTACATATAGACTACTACAAAGCTTTGGTTGCATACCAAAAAAAGTATTGTTTGTTATTTATCCTTAATATAGTTGTTTTCTAAATAATTGAGAAGTTTTAAAATGGGTACTTATAATGGAAGCCTATATTGACAAGTATAAATCTTGGCTATTGTGCTTAATTTTCCTTCGTTCTTCAGTGTACACCATGGTTCAGCTGATCTCATTAATTTACTATTAGCTGAGATAGTTGACTAATGAAACTTTCGTTGGAACTAGGGTGTTCTGTAGGAGTTTATGTAGTTAAAAAAGAGATGAGGAAAGAATAGAAAGGGAATTCAGATGATGAGAATCCTGAATACATAAGCTCAAATAAAAGGAGGCAAATTTTAATTCTAAAATGAAAAAAGAAACTGTAAAGCAGGGGTGCCCAACCCTCCAGGCTATGGTCCACTACCGGGCCTTGAGTCATTCGAAACTGGGACATGGAAGGAGTGGGCGAGACTGTGCGTGCACACATCCCCACTTGCATGAGTAGTGAGTGTGCATATGCACTCCATTTGTGTGTACAGTGGGCATGCGTGCCAACCATTTGTGCGGAACCATTCCCTCTTCCCACCACCTAACCGGTCCACCAAGCCAGAAAGGTTGGAATTAAAGGATAGAGAAGAATCCGAATATTATAAAATCTGGAATATATGGTAAAATTGGCTGGAGGATGGACGTAAAGCTACTATATAAGGATTTATATATAAGTAAGATATATAAGCCTTCCATCTTTCGAGGTCACTGAAATTAGGACCCAAATTGTTGGGGACAATGTGCTGATTCTAAACTGCTTAGAGTGTGCGGTATAACATAATGAAGAGATATATAAGACAAAGTGCTATGCTATTGCTATGTAGCAGCTATATAGCAGTGATGGTGGGTTGTACGCGGGCATGCCACACCCATAATGCAATGCCTGACCCCTGTGCGCATGACCAGTGCTCCCCCTCATTTTCTGCATGCTTTTTTCACCCTCCCCAGGCTCCATAGGCTTTATAGGAGCCTTGGGAGAGTGAAAACAGCCTCTCCCCTGGAGGCTTTCCGGAGGCTTCAGGAGCTTCCCTGAAGCCTCTGGAGTGCAAAAAAAAAAAAAAAAAAGCCCAGCCCTAGGGGCAAACTGGAAGTTTGGGAACGGACTTCCGGTTTGCTGGTAGGGTTGTTTTTAGTCCTCCGGAGCCTTCAAGGAACTTCAGGAGGCTTCCCTGAAGGTTCCGGAGGACTAAAAACAGCCCTAAGGACAAACCAGAAGTGACTTTCAGTTTGCCCATAGGGCCGGGTTTTTGTGCTCCAGAGGAGGTGGCAGAGGCTGTTTTCGCCATCCCCAGGATCTTGTAATGCTTCTGGAGCCTGGGGTGGGCGAAAAATGGCCTCAAAAAAAGGCTGAAGTCAGATGGCCAGTGCACACATGTGCACTGGCCAGCTGACAGGGCAATGCCTCGCGTGCCCTGGCAAATGGCTCCACGTGCCACTTCTGGCACATGTGCCATGTCTATATAGTATCAATATATTATAGGAAGAATCATGAAATTCTCATCCGCTGAGTTCCTAGTTTCTAAGGAAAAACTAACATGTCTGACATTTAGCCTTTTCTTATAAGTGGCCTTCCACAGTTAACGTGTAGAGCAAAGGTAGTGTAGGGTTGTTGGACTTGGACAAAGAAGATTCAGCTTCATGTCCCTATTCCCCTGAGTTACTTATATGGCCAGTCACACATTCTGTCTTGAAGCTACAGGACAACAGCCTTTTCACATTGTTAATGTTTTTTTTTTTATAAAATGAAACGGCCATCAAACTTTAGTGTTGTTTTATTCAGACTCCCCTTATATATTACTAGGACTCATAACAAGCCTTGATAATATTCAATGTCAAAGAGGCAAAAATTCAGAATATCCAAAAAAGGACACTTTGCATCAAACTGTATTCTATATTATAGAAATATAGCTATAGAGAAGCCAAAATCCAAGTCAGGGATGGCAGAAAATATACCACAAAGTTGAAATACAAAGCTATTTTGAGTATCATAGGTTACCAAGAAAAGTTATAACTTTTTTTAAGAGTCTTTGAAATTAAATTAGTTAACTTGATTTTTTCACCTATTTCGGTAGTTTGTTGACATTGATTAATACACAAAACCAAAGATTAAGGTGAAAATTGTGCATTATTTCTTCTATAAGTTCAATCTAGGTAAATTTCGGGTGACAGCCCATCTCATGATTCTTGTGGCCAGGTGGATAAGCTACAAATTCAGATGCTTATCCATGCCAAATCCAATAATAGCATTGGGAAAGAGATTGGATAGACGTGTGAAAAGCTATTATTCATCTATGTTTTAAAAAGCAGGCTTCATGTTTTCTTGCTACCTTTAACCAACTTAGCATCCTATGTCATGCTTGACAGTTAATTTACTTGTCAATTATATGTAGATATTGTACATTGTGCTTAAGGAACTGAGACAACTGCAAGCAAGCATAGAAAAAAAAGGTTATTTTGCTAGTTTTCTTTCTGGTTTACCTTGTAGTTTTGGTCTATGAATCTGGATTTATCAGTCTGCTTATGTTATTGTGTTACTTCTATTTTAGTGGAACTTGGGAGTTGGGCTGAGGTAACTGTGAAGTTAATTGCTATTGACTACAGGCACATGGCTCAGTGGCTTAAAGATGCTGGATTTACCAACCGGAGAAAATTGGCTTTCGCTACTCCAGAGATTTGAGTCCTGCCTCAGGTACTACTAACATAGCAGTTCAAAAATGTGCAAAATGCAAGTAAATAGGTGCCACTCTGATGAATAAAAAACTAATAGTGTTTCATGCAGAAGCAAGGAAGTAAGTGGTACCAGACCTGACTGACTGAGAAGCAAAATTGGAGGAGAAAAGCCCCAGATGACACCAACTCTCCTGCAGAATGCTGTTAGTCACTCTATGCAGAGCTAGTTGTCCCCCTGTGGTAAACGCTTGATAGCATACAGGCGCAAACTGAACAAGCTAGCAATCTTAGGCAGCCAAATATCTACTCTGTGACAACATTGTAGATTCCTGGGTTTCAGTGCACCACCTCCCTGTGCTAAATAAATGCCAATTGATTCCCAAGTTCAAGTCTCAAATATTGTTTTTAACTCTTTAAAATACTAATAGCTTATAGCCTGGCTATATAAAATACTGTCTGTATTATGAATCTGCCAAATTAATATAGTCTCGTTACATGAAGAAAAACATTTCATGAGCCTGCTGGAGATGGCTTTTATTATGTTGTTATCAAATTCAACATGTATATGTGTGTGTGTGTGTGTGTGTGTGNCAGCAGAACCTGTTTTGAAAAACCCAGATATGGATGCACCATTTGTCGTGCAAGCTGATGCCAGTGACATGGCAGTAGGGGCAGTATTGCTTCAAACGAGTGCTGAGGGTAAATTACAGTCATGCGCTTACACCTCACGTAAGCTTACAGAGATGGAGAGGAGATAGGCTATATGGGAAAAGGAAGCTTTTGCTGTCAGATGGGCTCTGATGACCTGGCGACATTTTCTTGAGGGAGCAAAACACCCTTTTGAAGTATGGACTGATCATAAGAATTTGGAAGCATTGAAGACCCCACATAAGCTATCACCCAAACAAGTACATTGGGCACAACACTTCAACCATTTCAACTTTACCCTCAAGTACATCCCGGGGGAGGGGAGAACTTTATGGCTGATGCCTTGTCTAGGATTCCCCAGTACAACAGCTCTAGGCTGAGCGTGGTTCACCCAGTCATCCCAGCAAAAAATCTGGCTGCCCCGATGGTTACTAGGAGCCAAGGCCCAGTGGACTTAAATATCACTACAGACCTAATGAACAAACTCAAGGAGGGCCTTGTGTCCAATGACTGGTTCAAGAAACAGTCTAATGAATGCACCATGAAGGATGGACTAGCTTGGGTGGGAGCTAAATTGTATGATTCTACTGACCTGAAACCGGTTGTTCTTCAACGGGCCCACGATTCGAGAATGGTGGGCCATTTTGGATTTGTAAAGACTTTGCATTTGATTAAGAGGCAATTTTAGTGGCCTTCATTAAAAAAAGACATTGAGTCCTACATAGCGAGTTGTCCCATCTGTGCAGCCCCAAAAAGGCCACCAGGGAAGCCCAAGATCTTCTCCAAAGTGTTGCACGCCCTGGGGCACCATGGAAGGAGATATCAATGGACTTCATTGTCAGATTGCCAGAGAGTCTAGGAAACACCGTGATTTGGGTTATCACCGACCTGTTTTCTAAGCAAGTTCATTTTGTGTCTTGTCCCAAAATCCCTTCAGCTAAGTCGTTCTCTAAATTGTTTATTTCACATGTATATCGGTTACATGGAGTACCTGAGCATATAATTTCATATAGGGGAGTCCAATTCACCTCCCTCTTTTGGAAGGAGTTCTTGAAGTTGATTGGCTCCACCCAAGGGCTAAGCTCCACCCACCATCCTCAGACCAATGGGGCTTGCGAACAGGCTATCTCGGTTTTGGATCAGTACCTCCAATGTTTCATCAATTATCAACAGGATAATTGGGCTGAACTGCTGAGGTCGCGTACAATAACTCTGCGCACAGCAGCACTGGCATGACCCCTTTCAAAGTTGTGTTCGGACAAGACTTTGTACCTGAATTACCTCAGGAGAAACCGCAAATTTTGTCCTTATCTGAGTGGAGTGATCAACTTCGGAAGTTTTGGCCCATGACTCGCAAAGCATTGGAGGCAGCCCACCAGCCTCACAAAACACAGGCTGATAAGAAGAGGGCTAAGCTGAAAGAATACAAAGTTGGTGATCAGGTTTTTGTGGCCACCAGGTTTCTGCAAACTACCCAAAAGTTGAAGAAGTTGGGGCCGAAGTATGTAGGTCCGTTCCCCATTGTGAAAATCATAAATCCTGTATCCGGGAGATTGGAGCTGCCTAAGAACCTTAGGATTTATCCTGTGTTTTATGTGAGCCTATTGAAACCGGAGCACACTTCTTCTCTATGTCCACTTCAATCAGCACCCCCGGCCCCTCTTCTTCTTGAAGGGAGCAACATTTTGAAGTTAAGATATCTTGGATTCCAGAAAACATAGAAACCACATTCAATATCTTGTATCCTGGAAACATTTTCCCACTTCCAATACTGAATGGGTAGACAAATCTCATGTTAGGGCTCCCAGACTTTTGCAGAAATTCTACGCTAAGTACCCTGATAAGCCTTAATGTATTTTAACATGTGCACTTGTATTGTANAAGGGGGAGAAGGCCCCCCTGTAGACTCCGGATGGCAAAGTTCTTCCTCTTGGCATGAAATTTGGAGGTGACCCAAAGGAGCTAGGATTTTTCCTGGTGCAGGTCTGGAATTTCATGCAACAATTTGGAGAAGATCTCCTCACCGAGGAAGCCAGGGTGAGAATTGTTACCATGGTGTTGGAGAACAAAGCAGCAGCCCAGATGGTCGCTTTACATAAGGATGCTCCCCCCTGCTGAGGAACTATAATAGGTTTATGGCCGCCCTGGGAAAATGCTTTGATCACCCGCTCACCAAGCAAAAGGCCAGAACAAAGATGAAAACCCTTACTCAGGGTAAAAATCCAGTGGCTGAATACATCCAAAAGTTTTGTGAACTGTCGGTGTATATGTGGGGTTGGTAGGAGGAAGCTCTGATGGACAGTTTTATGGATAGCCTGAACCAAGATATATACCAGAACTGTGTTAACAGCCCCTGCCCCCTGCAACCAGCAAGGTTGGTACAAATTAGCAGCAGATGTGGAGATTGCCCTAGCCAGGGATAAATACCAGGAAGACAGTGGGAAAGGTAAAAATCCCCCACAACCTCCCCAAAGGAGCTCCGAAGGGAGGAAAAAGTTGGTCTGCAAACAAGCCCCGGTCTACTGCTTGTTTCTGCTGTAGGAAGGAGGGGTACCGAGCAGCGAACTGGCGCTCAAAAATTGGGCCAAAGCACCCTGGCGCTGGGGAGAGGAAGCCAGATAAAGAGCCTGGGAAATGAAAGAATTCTGCCATGAAAGGGGTGGATCCTGTTGAAGAATTCCCTCCCAACCAAGGGGAAGAAGAACCCTCCTTTCTCTCAGGGGAAAATGAAAAAGACTCCAATGACCACCATCTGTTAAGTCCACAATTGGGCCCCATGACCATTCCAGTAGAACTTAAAGTGCCCTCTACTAGAGCTCAAGCAAAAATGCTGGCCCTTTTAGACTCTGGATGCACATGTTGCATAATTAGCCCAGAGGTTGTGGAAAAAATGGGCTTAAGACTGAGAACTTTGAAAGTGCCCATTGCCTTTTACCAGTTGGATCGTTCAATAGCTGGGGGGGGGACTCCTGCCCAATTTGTGACTGAACCAGTAGATATGTGGATGGGGGATGACCAAGAAACCTTAAATTTCATCGTTGCACCTGGGATGGATCAGCCCCTCATATTAGGATTACCCTGGCTGCAGAAATGGAACCCACACATGAACTGAAGGAAATGGTGGTAGCGCATTTGTTCTGCTAAACCCCCGGAGGGCAAGGGGAGGGTCTCTCACATAACCAATGCCGAACCTAACCTAGCAGCTGCAGTGCAGGAGAAAATTGAGGAGGAAGAGAAAATCCCTAAATACTGGGACCTTAAAGATGTTTTCAGTGAAAAGGCTTCTGATAAATTGGTCCCCCCCACCGCACTACTGATTGTAGCATTGAGATCCTCCCAGGGGTAAAACTCCACAAACCCCAAATTTATTCAATGACCCCACACGAAATGGAGGAACTGCGGAAATTTATTGACAAAAACTTGAAACGGAGGTTCATAGAGCTGGCTAGACCATGAGTGGCCGCACCTGTATTGTTTAGAGAAAAGAAAGATGGCTCTTTTCATTTATGTGTAAACTACAAGAACCTTAACGGGATTTGCATAGAAAATGTATCCCCCCTCTCACTCATGAAAGATACGTTGGCCTGCTTGGGTAAAGGTAAACTTTTCACAAAGTAGGACCTCAGGGAAGCCTATTACAGAGTCAGAATCAAAGATGGAGATGAGTGGAAAACTGCTTGCAACTGCCCTTTGTGATGTTTTCAGTTCAAAGAAGTCCCATTTGGTCTGCAAGGGGCACCAGCAGTTTTCATGCAATTAATAAATGAAGTTCTGCATGAACACCTTTACAAGGGCATGTTGGTCTACCTTGATGACATCCTTATCTACACAGAAACACGTGATGAACACATGACTTTAGTGCAGTTCTCAAAAAACTTCGGGCCGCTGAACTTTATGCAAAATTGTCTAAATGTGAATTTCATCAGGAGAAGATAGATTATCTAGGCTACCGCATCTCCCACAATGGCATCGAGATGGACCCGGCGAAAGTCCAGGCTGTTACTGAGTGGGCACTCCTCAGACCCGCAAGCAATTGCAAAGGTTTTTAGGATTTGAGAATTTTTATCGTCAATTTATTCCCTCATTCGCTAGCATTGCACTGCCCATTACTAATCTCCTAATATCAAAAGGGGAGACCAAACCTAGACCGGGTAAACCTTTGAATTGGACTATGGAGTGTCAGGCTGCTTTCAAGAAATTAAAGTGATTCTTTGCAGCAGAACCTGTTTTGAAAAACCCAGATATGGATGCACCATTTGTCGTGCAAGCTGATGCCAGTGACATGGCAGTAGGGGCAGTATTGCTTCAAACGAGTGCTGAGGGTAAATTACAGTCATGCGCTTACACCTCACGTAAGCTTACAGAGATGGA